CGCTGGGGGGGGTGAAGCAGCGTACAGGAGGGAGGTGGCCGGTCTGGTGTCATGGTGCAAAGACAATAAACTCAGCCTCAACACAGTCAAGACAAAGGAGATGATAGTGGACATGAGGAAGGAGAGAAGATCTCATCGGCCACTGTTCATCCGGGGGCTCGAAGTGGAGAGGGTGAGCAGCTTCAAATACCTGGGTATCCACGTCAGCGAGGACCTCACCTAGACACATAACACATTGCAACTTCTACAGCTGCATTGTCGAGAGCATCTTGACCAGGTGCATCTGTCTGGTATGGCAGCACAACTGCTATGGACCGCAAGTGCCTGCAGAGAGTGGTAAAGACTGCAGAGAAGATCACCAGGACTCCACTGCCCTCTCTGCAAAGCATTTACCACTGCAGGGTGCGTAGGAAAGCTGCCTCCATCCTCAAAGACCCTACCAACCCCCAGCACGGATTCACGCCCCTACCCTCCAGCTGAAGGTTCAGAAGTGTGAAATGCAGGACCTCTAGACTGAAAAACTCTTTCCTTCACTCTGCCATCAGACTCCTAAACAGTTGAGGAGTTTACTACCAGGAAATACGTCATGTACTGTCGACCTGTACCGTTTACATTCTCAATTTGCACATGCATAATTGCACATTCACTATTGACTACTGCACATACAGTTCTCATGTAGCATATATTCTCTTATTATATTCTTATATTTTTTTATTATATCTCTTCATTTGCTGCTTTAAAGTGCCTTAGATTTTGTGTTACTTATTTATCTACTTTATACTTCATTTGTATCGTGTGGCATTCATGTGGACGGCAAAGTAAGAATTTAATTGTACAGGGAAATGCGTTTCCGTACTATGCATATGACAATAAACACTTTGACCTGACTAAATGGAAAGTGGGATGAGATTGTTTTTTCAACATTATTATTAGTTGCAGACGTCAAAACCCATCCACCATGTTTAAACATTGATAGTAAAGAAATGACATTCAAATACTCATCACTAAAGATATCAACAGAGGAAAACAGACAAAAGTGACAGGTATCACATGTGTAACATGACTGATCAGGTGTTAATGTTCCCTGGGCGTGTGGTTTGCTTTGTAAGGAACCAACACAACTATGTGTCCCTCCAGTAGCGTGTTCTCATTTATCTTCATGGTACCAAACCAGACACAAACACCAATAAGACCGATTATAACAATAAACTAAATTCAATTCAGCTCTATAACCTCTTCAGGGTGGTGGAGGGTTCATGGGAGTCCACATGCATTTTGTGGATTTGGAGAAGGCATTCGACCATGTCCCTCACAGCGCCCTGTGGGGGGGTGCTCCGGGACTATGGTCCGGGGCCCTCGGTTAAGGGCTGTCTGGTCCCTGTACGACCAGAGCAGGAGCTTGGTTCGCATTGCCGGCAGTAAGTCAGACCTGTTTTCGGTGCATGTTGGACTCCGGCAGGGCTGCCCTTTGTCACCGGTTCTGTTCATTATCTTTATGGACAGAATTTCTGGGTGCAGCCAGGGGCCGGAGGGAGTCTGGTTTGGGTACCACAGGATTTCGTCTCTTCTTTTTGCAGATGACGTTGTCCTTTTGGCTCCATCAAACCAGGACCTTCAGCATGCACTGGGACGGTTTTCATCCGAGTGTGAAGCAGCTGGGATGAGAATCGGCACCTCCAAGTCTGAGGCCATGGTTCTCAGTTGGAAAAGGGTGGTTTGTCCCTCCAGGTTGGTGGAGAGTTTCTGCCTCAAGTGGAGGACTTCAAGTATTTTGGGGTCTTGTTCACGAGTGAGCAAAGGATGTAACGGGAGATTGACAGGTGGATCGGTGCAGCTTCTGCAGTAATGCGGTCGATGTACTGGTCTGTCTTGGTTTGAAGAAGGAGCTGAGCTGTAAGGCGAAGCTGTCAGGTCCGGTCCGGCACGGCACGGCCTGCCTCTCTTCCTCCTTTCTCTCTCCTGACCTGCGGGATCTGCACCTCAGCTGTGTTACATTCGGTAATTAGTGACTCGTTTGTCGGTGCGCACAGCTGAGGTGCATTCCTATGATTACCTGCTCCTTTATTTTAACCTCTGGCAGATGCTCCGTTTCGCTGGAGACCTGTAGACATACCTGTATTTGTGGTATGTGTCATACGTCATTTTGATTTCCACGCTGACAGTTCCTGTGCTGTGGATCTCATTTTGTACATTGGTTACATGTTGTTTTTTGTGTTATACGTCTCTAGATGTCCACGCTGACAGTTCCTGTGCTGTGGATCTCTTTGTATGTTTTTTCCATGAGGTTAGCCATGCGTACTTTGATGTTCACGCTGACGGTTCCCGTGCTGTGGATTTCTTTGGTATGTTTTCACGTGTGTAGCCATGTGTAAGTTGATTTCTTTTTTTCCTTCACTACTCTGCTTCCCTGCATACGTTCGCTAGTCCTCCTGGTTATTCTGTCTACTCACCCGTCCATTCTGGTCCTCTGACTCTCCTGGTTCCTGCCGTTATCTGTCTACTCATCTGCTCGTCCTGGTCTCCTCAGCCAATTCTGCCCTACCCTGTTTTTGTACTGTCCAGCCTGATTATGCTACAGATATTGACTCTGTTACCTTGTTTGTGTTTTTTCCATTAAACCTCCATTTTTTTCTACTAGCACCTGGGTCTGCAAACTTGAGTCCTACCTCAGTTGTCCCTCACCCTCCTGGTGAGGGGGACTAAATCATAACAGAAGCTCTCAGTTTACTGGTCGATCTACGTTCCTACTCTCACCTATGGTCATTAACTTTGGGTCATGACCGAAAGGGCAAGATCCCGGATACAGGAGGATGAAATTAGCTTTCTCTGCAGGGTGGCTGGGCGCACCCTTAGAGATAGGGTGAGGAGCTCAGTCACTCACTAGGAGCTCAGAATAGAACCGCTGCTTCTCCACATCAAGAGGAGCCAGCTGACGTGGCTCAGACATCTGTTTCAGATGCCTCCTAGGCGCCTTCCTGGGAAAGTGTTCCGGTCCTGGGGAGGTGTTCCGGGCATGTCCCAATGGGAGGAGGCCCCGGGGAAGACCTAGGACACGCTGGAGGGACTATGTCTCTCGGCTTCCCTGGGAACGCAGCATTCCCCCGGAGGAGCTGGAGGAAGTGTCCGGAGAGAGGAAAGTCTGGGCATCTTTGCTTAGACTGCTACCCCCGCGACCCGGTCTTGGATATGTGGGAAAAGATGGATGGATGGACTAAATTCAATCCTTGTATGTCCCTTTAACATATTATAACAGCTAGACACCGAATCACAGGATGGAAGCCTGGACACCTGCACAGGTGGCACCAGTGCATGCTGGGTTACCTGCTGTGTGAATGGATGTAACCAAGCATGTTCCTGAGGTGGTGAATTAAAATGATTAATTGAAGGTTGGTGGCATATTAGATTATTGTTCTTTGTACGGGCTGCATTTCTTATGTAATGTTTTTGTGTCACTTTGTACTTCAAGAATTAAATAATTAAAATCAATGACCTAATGCTCATAACTATCTGAGAACTGTCTGTATCCTAATACAGTAGATACATTTGAATGTATATACAGCCTCACTGGATAATAAAAGTCACCAATGGCCATTTATCCACAGAAAAAACCTACTAAATCTGTCTAATAAAATCAAAATCTCAGATTAAACAAAATTTCTATAAAATATTGTATTAATCCAACATAAATGTGTTTCACTGAAAGTCTAGACAGTGAACTTGATGATTATAATCAAGATAATCAGATGGATGATTTGATTTCACTTTTGTACACTTTCCATGTTTGATCCATTAACACATTACATTTCCCAATGCATTATTTTTTTTAACAATGGCAGAAATGTTTAATTACATCTTAAAGTAATTTGGAAGTAAAACACAGCTTATTATGCAGTACTCAAGCTACATGTTACCCTGTCTGTTTTGTGTTCAGGTTACACTTTGACTTGTCAGTAGAAAAGTGGTAGTTCCTGGTCCAGGTCCCAGCCTTGCAGTGGAACATTCGCATTGTTAAGGAGTTCCCACAAGGTGATACCAAAGATCCACTTATCACACTGAAGTGTCAGGTTGTCTGGAGCCTCCAGCACCTCAGGGGCCACCCAGTGGATTCTGTCCAGAATCACTGAATAAACACACAGAAATACACACATGCATTAATGCAAACAAGACATTATTCAACAGGTATCTCAGTTTATTTCCTGATTGTTAAATACAGTATAATAATTCAACCATAACATTAAAACCACCTGCCTAATGTTGTAGAGGTCCCACTCATGCCCCTAAAGCAGCTCTGACCTGTCGAGGTATAGACTTCACAAGCTCTCTTAACCCTATAAAACCATTTGTATCATATTTGATATGTGAGGTTTTTGAGCAAAAAAAAAATTGCCAAAAGTGCTCCATGTATCAAATGTAATAAAAAAGAAATAGAAATAATCTAAATAATATGGCACCTCTATTCCTAAATGCCCGTACTTACTGTATGTCTATGCATATATGGAAAATAAAAATCGTGAATCTTGAATTTCGAATCATGAATTTTATTTTGGATTTTGTTAAAAGGTTTAATATTCTCACTCTACCTAGGAGGGGCACCAACTAGACGAGTTAGAATGAGGGGTGCTTGGGTTCGTTTA